ACTCTTGATCATCCTCGATGTGAGTGATCTGTGCACACACAAAATGGAACCATGCTCCACAATGGTCACAGCATATGCTATTGTCAGGGGAATTCTCTGGGAGCTCCTCTCCCTCTAAAATGACTTTCTCACATGTGGGGCAAAAATATATATTCCTCAAGCCTAATAGGACCTTCGCCATGTAAGACTTAAAAAAATACATCAAGCTTTGGAATGATCTTGTCCCAAAATGAATCATCAAAATGTATCAGTTCTACATGTAGTTTCTTTGTTGTCCACACAACGAAGTTCAACTTTGATAACGATTTTGCAGCCATAACATCAGTCACTTGAAAGAAATACTTGTGACTTCTTTTCAGCTGAATCACTCCATCCCTCTGCTCCAGGAAATCTGTTTGTTCTCAGGCCTCACTGACGCACAAGTCTCGAATGGAATATGGGCACTTAATTTCCAATGCAGTTGTACCACAGCATGAACATGTCATAATCCTATCAGGACTGGCCCCAATGTAGGGTTTGTCTTTAAGAACACAAAGTCCACTCTTTGTTAACTTGCAGTTTTGGTGCTGTGAAAGAGCCCTGGCATAAAATTCATTATATGCCTCGTTTTCTTTTTCTTTTCCCCACCTGACTGATGGGATGTGGTCAATGTTCTGCGATCCAAGAACTAGTTTTGAAACAAGAGGAGTTGTTGGTGGTTTGACAGAACCTCGAGCTTTTGCAAGGGAGTCAACTTTTGTGCTTACATCTTTTAAGTTCGATGCAGTTATCCGTCCTTTTCTGTGCCTGATCCAAGAAAATGAGTCACTTTGGCCCTTGGTTTCTCGCTTAATTTGGGAAACCTCCATTGCACTTAAGGGGATAGCTTCCAAAAATTTATTTACAACGTCCTGTTCACTCTCACTACCATCTAATGATGCAGTAAAATTCTCTGCAAATTTAGTCAGTTCTAAAGGTCTGTCCATTTGATTGTGCTTTTCTGCCTCTACACTTTTGAAAATTTGCGCATTTGGCCTGATCTGTTTGTACCCATCCGAGAATCCCTTTTTCACCTCATCAGTCACGTTCCTTTCCCCCTCTTTCCTTGGATCAAAATGTCTCCATTCATCTATAATAATTCCTTCATTTTCTTCATTTCCAGTTGTTCTCTTGTCTTTTCTGATTCGCATGTCTATTATCTTTCCTGGCTGCACATCTCTCCTGGTTGATACATTCCATCCGCAAGGGACTGATGTACATGATGGATCTGTATAACCATGGGTGAATGCATATTCCATCTTGTAAAGCGATGCAATTATGTGGTTGCATGTTGCACTCGTGCCAGCAATGCATGTGCACCAACCACACAAGACAGTTCCATCTTTCTTGAGGGCTACCCAGACTTCTCTTGGGACCTCTCTGATGCGCTGCGATGGAGTTACCTTGCATTGCAACACACACTTTCCATCCTTGTTGTCTGCATAGAGGATGGTACCGAAAGTTACTTTTCCAGCAATAATAAGCTTTTTCATCCTTGTATTTCCCAATGTAATCTGAGTCAAACTCTTTGTTTGACAGAATATAAGCAAATATCTTGCCAAGGTCCACTGGTGGCCATTTTGTCATGTCATCCACTCATGTAGTGTCACTGGATTTAGGATCTGATAGATCGTACTTGCGTAGTCTGTCCTGGAATTCCCTTTGCAAACTGGCCAAGTCTTGCTCTTGGGAAACTTGGACTGGAAGCTTCATTTCAAAGGCAGAAAAAGCTCTTGCGACCAGTTCTACCTTCCGGCCAGTTGTTGACAATCCCCTTAAACTTAGCTAGTCCTTGAGGTTTCCCATGGACAAATCCAGAAAATCTTCATACATTTCCATCTGAATGAAGCATTGAATGCAATTAGGACAATGTTTACAGCACAGTAAAAAAGATCCACGAACTACAACCTGACTATGACATCAGAGTTAATCACTTTAAGTTAAAAAATATATATTTAAAACGCAATGAGATGCGATTTTCTAAGGCACTAAATTGATTTCAGTGACTTTTCAGAAAAGCTTNGTAATCTGAGTCAAACTCTTTGTTTGACAGAATATAAGCAAATATCTTGCCAAGGTCCACTGGTGGCCATTTTGTCATGTCATCCACTCATGTAGTGTCACTGGATTTAGGATCTGATAGATCGTACTTGCGTAGTCTGTCCTGGAATTCCCTTTGCAAACTGGCCAAGTCTTGCTCTTGGGAAACTTGGACTGGAAGCTTCATTTCAAAGGCAGAAAAAGCTCTTGCGACCAGTTCTACCTTCCGGCCAGTTGTTGACAATCCCCTTAAACTTAGCTAGTCCTTGAGGTTTCCCATGGACAAATCCAGAAAATCTTCATACATTTCCATCTGAATGAAGCATTGAATGCAATTAGGACAATGTTTACAGCACAGTAAAAAAGATCCACGAACTACAACCTGACTATGACATCAGAGTTAATCACTTTAAGTTAAAAAATATATATTTAAAACGCAATGAGATGCGATTTTCTAAGGCACTAAATTGATTTCAGTGACTTTTCAGAAAAGCTTAGATATCATACCTTCAATATCCCGAAAAGGAAAAATCTCTTAGTGCGACGAAGTACGAAAAAAACGCTGACAATTGCCGGTGAGTCGGGCACGTGACAAAAATTTTAAGAGATTTGTATGAAGCTTGGTAACCGCGCCAAAATTTCCTTGCCTACTCGTCAAAATGGTGTCGAAAACCGTGATAAGGTCTATTGAACATAAATTTCAAATGCTTATCAGCAAATAAACAAATTGATTCCCGTTGCATCGGTTCAGTGTTCACCAAAACAAATGTTATCGAGTAGAACACATAAAGAAACTAGATTATAAACAGAATATTCAGGCAATAATTTATTTTGAAAACATCAATTCTTAAACATGTACAATCGTAAAGCAAAGATACAAGGAACATTCCAAGTGTACCAGATCGTTGAAGATCGTGCGGCCTGTTGCAGTATAACTACTGGTCGGAGTCAAATCAAATCAAAGTTGAATGAACTCACGCCTTCAATCACTTTCTAAGTGTCATGTATTCTTTTCGTAAGCCACACACTACTCCTAGAACCATACCAGATCGATCGGTTAAGCTTCTCTATCTCCAAAGACTCTTGAGAACGTCGGGTTGTCGGACGACCACGATGCTCTTCTGAATCTCCATGATCAAAACATTATTTTCTGTGTCTTCTTAAAACGTAACCAGTCAAACAACAGAACCACACGTTAATCACTACTACTGAAGTATAACTGGTAGTTTTGAAAACGAAGCACTCGAAAACAAAGACCGAAGCATGAAGCACCCTAGATCGAAAATGAAGACCCCTAAATCTCGAAAACGAAGCACCCTAGATCGAAAACTAAGCACCCAAAACTCGAAAATGAAGCACCCTAGATCGAAAACGAAGACCCCTAAATCTCGAAAACGAAGCACTTAAAACTCGAAAACGAAGCACCCAAAACTCCAGAACGAAGCACCCTAGATCGAAAACGAAGCACCCAAAAGCTCGACACCGGTCTTATAAACACAAGACCAATGCTAATACAGCAGGAATCAAGCACGATAACGAATCAAATGCAGTTAAAATCTACTCAAGTTGTAAATGCATTTCCGCCGCTGCGTGGGAGGCCTGGTGGGAGGCCATGTTTTGGACGTGATCAGAAAATCGAGAACGCCCAAACTATTTCTAGAATGTTACTGTATTGCCAGTAAAAGCCAGTTAAATTCGCAAGATTGAGTCGATGATAGAGAGCTTTAGATTCTAAGGCGAGTACAAGATTTTCTTAGTACTAAGTGGTGCTCGTGCATGAACCAGCGTCATTTTGGCGGGAAAACGTGGTAGCCGTCGTCATTATCAGTCTTAACGATGATATCGAAGCGGCGAAAACAAGCGAACAAATGTTAGAAGTTTGATAATTTTGCGATCGGGAGGGGGCGTAACCTCCCGCATATCCAATATGTTAGACTGCAAAACAATTGTTTTTTTTTCTCAAAATCAGTAAAGAAGTCGGTAAAGCGTGGCGTAAGAGTAATACCCGGGAGCCTCACACTTCGTTTTCAGCCTCGTTTCAGACCTTTTGTGTTACTGTTTACGTGTATTTGAATATGCCAAAATCTGCTGACGGACAGTTTTGAAGTCTACATAAACATGTATGTGTACCGAAAAAATGCATATTAAGGTAAGCAAGCATAGCGAGACCAATAATAAAATTAATACAGTATATCCTATCTAGAAAAGTTCAGTTAAACAGTTGGCAGGCTCTTATAAAACCTTGGGATGGATTTTGTGGACCTTTGGAGGTGCGGACGCATCCGCTGCCTCCACCTGATTCAGGTGCTTCGTTTTCGAGTTTTGGGGTCTTCGTTTTTCGAGATTTGGGTGCTTCGTTTTCGAGATTTAGGTGCTTCGTTTTCGATCTAGGGTGCTTCGTTTTCGAGATTTGGGTGCTTCGTACTTCGGTCTTCATTTTGGAGTGCTTCGTTTTCAAAACTACCAAGTATAACTAGGCCAGCCAAAGCGACAAATTTTCAATGATTGTAGCAGTAATGGCGATTACGAATTTAGTGTCGACCCAACAAATTTATTCTGAAGAGACAAACAGCGCGCATGTACATAACCGTGATCGCGTCCCTTTAAGCTGCAATGAATACAAAAAAGCCTAGCTGAATACAAATTGGCTAAAACACCGAATTTATTTACTGTACAGTTCCAGGAATTGCTTCGAATTGTTCGAATATTCTGAGAAACGTATCGGTTCAATTCACAAGAATTTTTTACCTTCACTTGCATTCATAGGCTTTCCACTCGAAATAGGATTCCACCGCCTTTAGTTTTGCACCGCCCCTTTTCGACAGTCGAGTGTTCTTTAGCATATAAACAGTATTTACTTTTCTCTTTTAGAGCGTAATTATGAGTGTGCTGCGAAGCCACTATAACAAAACGCGCGGTGGTTTGGGTTGGGTCTGTGCAACCAGAATGTACCGTTCCATTGAGCACGTGAAGTTTCCGAAATTTCAAACCAGAATTTTTGTTGAATGGAAAGCACCCTGGACCTGCTGAGTTCCAACCCAAAATGGCAGACAAATCAGCGACGTGTGAGGTGAGTGAAATCCTTGTCCATCTGATAAGACATGCTTATTTTATGCCCAAAGGCTTTTAAGACATTCAAATTTTAAGTCAGGGCATTGTTTTATCGGATTTTTCTGGTCTTCCAGTTGAAAGAAATCCTTTTTTCAAGGCATTGTTTTGTGGTATAGATTTTAATTACAGTATTAACACATTTCATTCACTAATATTGCTATCGAGTAAGCTTAATTTCCATTTGAAACAACACAAAAGACTTGACAAAAGGAAGCACAATAGCTTTGTATTGTTGACACCTGACTTCCTTCGACACTTCCTTCAAAGTAATACGAATTTGATCGAGGCATAATCAGTTAAAGATTAACTGTTTGGGCGCATGATTAAGTTGCAGTTTACGCCGTCCAAGGTATCCAATTTTAATTCAATTCCACTCTCCAAGGAAATTCTAATTAGTCGTAAGTTTGAGAACGCCCAGTACTTTAAAAGCTATTCATTTTGGCTTTTTCTTTGTGTGTGTGCGAAATGTTACAAAAAAATAAAATTGGCAAGTTTGTCTGTGCGTTCATTATTTTGTAAGTGTACAGTGGCTTTAAAACCATGAAAACTAGTTTTCATATTTTGCCATAACGATAAGTACACCTTGATACAAATTTAATCACAAGCTCTTAAATTCTTTTGATATAAGCTTACAGGAAAAATCAATGCTTAACCATGAAATCCTGGGGCTTGCTTTTCTCTTCTTTTTTTGCAATATTATTATTGATTATGTAAATTCTTGATGATCTAGCTGTTATGGGATCTTGCCCCTTTTACATATCTTTCTTCTAGCTTGCTTGATTTGTTATGTTAGTGTGCCATTTGAGTGAAATGACGAGATGAATAAATATGACATTTGTCTATTTTCCATTTTACAGGACAAACCTGTACATGTAGTTGATTTGACTGAGAGCCCAGTTAAGAAATTCAAGCCCAGTTTGAGTTCTCATTACCCTTCTGATGAGGCAAGAAAGAAAAGTATGCTTTTCCCATCAATTCCAGATGCCATGTCAGAAGCTGTGGTAAATGTAACCCTAGAAGGTTATATAGGTCATATGGGGGTATAGCCCCTTTTATAGATCCAATCCATATGGACTTTGTCAAGTTGATTTGTCATTTATTTTCCTGTGCCGTCAAATGGAAATGACAATCATCAATTTTCCATCCGACAGAATATACCTGTAGTTGATTTGACTCAAAGCCCAGTTAAGAACCTCAAACCAAGTTTCAGTCCTCAAGAATGTTCTGATGAGGTAAGAAAATAAAATATAATAAATTATCTTGTTAAGTCCTGATGTGCTGTTGATTAGTTTAAACAGAAACTGAGGTGGCTTGAATATCTTAAAGGTTTCACTTGTCGGTG